TTGCTCAAAACCAAGCGGGGATGACAACATTTACCAAACGTGTAATAACTTCAACATCAAAAGTTGTTACCAAGCTTTGACTCCAACGGAACTGTCCAGGAAAGCGGAAGTGATAATCATCTTCCTGTCGTCGACTAAAAGYCAGAAAAGTTTTCCTCAATATGTATTTGCCATCGACATCATCGACAGCATCAACGACGCTTGCTACGGCATTTGTTCGAGCTTCCACTTGCATACAGAGTAAAAGTGATTATTTACGAAATGCGTTTTCACCAACATTTGMGCAGACAGCCATTTGCAAKTGTCAAAATAKTCACCTACACAAGTCATCAAGGGAATTTACGGGAAGAACAATCACAGCTGCTCACAGTCGCGCAATGGCACTCCTAGATCCGGCTAYAACAGCGGCCGCATCAAATTTCTTCAACGGAGTCCGATTTCCAGCCATTTTCATCGCAGGAGCATCACTAGCAGGAATGTTTGCCATGACAGAGGATGTCAATGACACCTACGGATTGTCGAAGCTTCAGATTTTTTTGCTACGGCTTTATCATGTGACGTCTCTATTGAGTTTTTGTTTGAGCCTTTCATCAATAGTTACATCCACGACAGCGAGTACACTTTTATTGCTATCCGAATTTTCGATGGTGTCGAAGGCGGAAAAGAAGTTGGGCCTGGACGCTTACCAATTTTTGCGATCAAACATGAACTTTGAGTTTATATTTACGAGATGGTCTTTTTTCGTGTCAGCAGTGTTATTGTTCGCATCCACAACAATTCGCATGCTACTGCAATTTGAATTATTTAAACCAAAACGAAGACTAGCGGGATGGAGTGTTGTTTCGACAATGGTAGGCGTTATAACCTTCATCATGGGTTATACCAACACTACTCAACATTGCTGGCCTTCCTTTTGGGGTATGACACAGGAAATCTTCCGGATTTTGTGGAAACGTGCTTTTCTGAAYCGTCAACGGATGTTTCTTGTGTCATTGACATCGTTTAGTGTCGGAACGCTCTTAACAATCAAGTTCTTGATGCCGAGTGCAGTCGAACATGATCAGCTTGCCGACCATGATAGATACACCTAATAGTTCACATTAATATTGTTCCTACCACTAAGTAGTAYGAATTGCTATCGATTGCGAACGTGGATACGTTCGTCGTAACTATTTTTTRAAATGGATGCACTAAGTTRGATGCAATAAATTGGTGGCTTTGCTAGATTTAAATCAGGGACAACAATTGATTGAACGTCATYAGCCGAATCAGACTATTTTCCTGTGAATTYCTTTGCAACAACACGATTTTCAATTTGCACATGGAGGTTCGCAAAGTGTGCTACTTTGGAAAAGTAAATCACGTGACMGTGTCATTTAAAGCTCCRCCCAACGATTATCATCAAATTCCCTTGCTCTCACCCCGATGAAGAAGTATTGTACTTTTGTTATSTTTCCACTTCCTCATCAATACCTACTCCATCGGCCAAATCTGGAGATCCATYAGCGCTATAAGCATCYGGCATAATCCAAGGTACGAGCGCAAGAATTAATGCGTGTTCGTAGTATTCCGATCGGCCCATCAAATTGTCCGTCAAATATCCCACCGTTCCGGAGCCTTTCTTCGACATTTTTCGACCAGAAATTTTGTCATCGGCGTCTCCCAACTCCATTCCTTTCTTAATCAAATCGTTCATAGCAGAAGGGAGCATAAACGACCCYGTTTTTGMCAGACTAAAAATTGGATTGCTATCTTTCTGCGAAACTGATGCTTCACGGGAAGCAATTGTTTTCAGTAGCAGCGACTCCCGTTTGCCGTACACCGCCATCCACGCCATGCACCACAAAGTTTCATTGCCATCGTGGTCAAGAGCGAGCGACGACCATTCTAACCCACCTTCCAACCCGAAACTCAAGTGAGGAAARCAATCATATGCGTCTCGGTAAGCTTTATAGGCACTCATTGCTCGAGTTTTTGCGCCCCGAAGAGTCTCTTCCTGAAAACAAAAGAGGGAGAGTGAGCGAGACAAGATCGATATCACGATCAGGATATGAAAAGCGTCTACGGGGTCGCTCAATGATTGGTTTCATAGCTTACATCTCCAAAGGGCTGATCAGGAACTCCAGAATCTACTCCAAACCCCTCGATGTGGACTTCCAAATCGGATATTGAATCGGCTTTAATCGATTGCTTGATTGCGTTCTCCACCGAATCTATTTTGCACGGGTTTTTGGTACCGACGGCTATTCGTAGTAACTGCATATCATTTTCGACTCCTTTAGTGTTTAACTTCAGCTCCGCCATGGTTCTGATTTTGTGATTGTGACTGGCCTACTTTARTAAGAARTATGAASCATAATTACACCCKTTCTGCGAAATATGTGACGCTTCATCCTCTAGCCTCGAGTTCGTCTCGTGCAGTTCAATTTGTCGCGTTCAAGAACTTGAAAATTGATGGGGAAGATATGCTGAACGCACGCGCAATTTAGCGAAGCAGAAGTACTAAGTACAGTACAGTACMGTTTCCAGAAGTAAGCACTAATAGTAATTCTCTAGCAGTAACCGATGAATTTACCTCTCCAGTAGTAAGGACCAGCAGAGTACAGCCCAAAATATGAGTACTCCATGGAGATGTTCATAACAAAGAGGTAGTACTTCTTACTCTAATTTTTGTCTTCAACTGAGCTGATWTCAATCTTTCCTCTTATTTTTCACTCATACTAGTACTACTCCTTTTTGCAATCTCGTTGTTAGTACTACTAGTAGTACTACTACTAGTATTTCTTCTCGTCCTCCTCATCAAATACCAAGAACCTCTCAGGTACAAATGTACCTATTTTCTACAAAAAGTGAAATACAATCAATAACATGGTAAAATTCATACTAAAAAAAGAAGTATCATGGTTAAGAACAGAAGCAACAGGAATCCCAGAACCCTTTAGGATCTCTAGTACTATCAGTTCAAAAAGCCAACAACCCAGAAAGATAAATCATGGAAAGACCATGGTGCTGCTTGGCCTGAATATGCCCACAAATGTGTTCATAACTCCACCCAAGAATCTGTTATTGTGAAGAAGAAGTTCTTGTTTGCTGCCCATAACCATTGGGGGAGAGATGTATCCTTGATAGGACATCCATTGATGTTGAAAACAAGAAGGAGCCATCTTTGACATTGGTTGCTCCTCCTGTGATTCAACTGGAAGAAACTGTAATGTTGGACCAGCTGCAGTTAAAAGATTGCCAAGAAGAGTTACACTTGGAGATGATCCCCTCCCACTCCTAAAGCTGCCCCACAAACTGAAAAGGCTCCTCCATCCAATATTGTCCACGATTGGTAGTAGTACTAGTATGCAAAGAAGAGATACAAGACACCACCAAAGAAGAAGTGCTACTACTAGATGCCCAAACCCACCAGCATTGACACCAATATTGCCCCAGCAGGTAGAGGGGGCACCAGCACCAGTGCTTTCAGCAGCTTCTCCCCCACCACCAGCTCCGCCTAAGCAACAGCCAGCACCTCCAGTGAAACTAAAGGATCCCCTGACAGCTCCTTTGATGTTCACTACCTTGGAGTTGCACCAGGATGATGAAAAGAGGGCAACAATAATAAGGAGGAGGAGGCAAACCCACAATGGCCATTGTGGAGTATGCAAAGATCATTTGTAATAATGCTAATGTGTTTAACTCACTGGGAAGCAATCAGTACCAAGACACAGAGGCTAATACAAAGTGCTATGCTAACAAGACCATAAGAAATACTCATCACAAATTTGTGGAGATCATTGCTACTAGTAATGCCAGAGACAAATTAATGTATGAGATGTTTACAAAGAGGGTGTTCAAGGCAGATAGAATGACTGAGGACTACTTATTCCACAAGCATGCAACAGGGAAAACAAACGTGGTCAGTAAGGGAACAAGAATGGACAGAATCCTGAAGGTTTGGGCAGAACACTTGAAGAGCACCAAGACCAGTGGTCCATAGGACAATAGTACTACTATGAGTGTAAGGATCCAACAGCTCTTCTTTGCTCTTCATGAGTGAGGTGTCCAGTTTTGTGAAGGTGATTAAAAGGGAAAGGGGGCTTTGTTGCCTTCATTGAGTATGATTATTACAGCAAGCAACAAGCTGGTCCATCCATTGGAACAAAAAGGACCAAGGCAGAGTTTGATGAGTTTTTGGATGAGAAGTTCAAGAAGGTGTTAACAGATGGTATTTACAAGCCTAACAATAATAAGCAGGATTTGGTAAAGATATTACTAGTGATGAAACTGGGAAGACAGTTTGAAATAAGGGGGGGAAGTGAAATTATCAGTCTGTTGTGGAACCACTTGAAGATGGGAACATTCAAGAGTGGTAGTATGATTGGGCTGAAGTACGTAATCTTTGCTTGCAGCAGGGGCTTTGACAAGTCTTGCATCAGCTCTCTCACAATAACCCAACTGTAACAAAATAGTTCCCATCTGCTGTGAAACACCCTGATAATCAAAATTGTGTTGTGAAGCTTGTCTTCTTTTACCAACAGCAATGTGATCCAAAGCAAGACAGGTTTCTTGACCACCCTAGCTTAAAAAGGAAGAATAAAAAGAAGAACCCTTACTATTTCAAGAGCAACCCCCCAGTTAGGATCAATGCAATTGCRGTTTGGGTGAAAGAGTTTGCTGAAGTTGCTAGTTTCAAGGATTGGGAAAAGTATACACCACATAATAATAATACTACTACTAGGCATCATTGTTGCACTATCCTTGCCTCTGATCTTGTTACTGTTCCAGAAAATATGATGATGAATCATCTTGGACACAAGAGCAATAAGTCAGCTGAGCCTTACATCCATCAAAATCCTGTTATTCAAAGAACTGTAGAAAGTGTCCTTCATAGTACTAACTTCCATGAAATGAAGAAGCCACCAGAAGGAGCACCAGCAGCAATTCAGCACAAGAAGAAGAAGAAGAAGAAGAAGAAGAAGAAGAGATATGACAAGTTGGCTCCTCCTTCTTCTTGTTCTGCATCAGCAGCTGCAAGAAAGGAAAGACAGGTGGTGATTGCTCCTGCTGGTATGTTGTCTGGTGCTCATTTGTGACCAGCACAGAAAAAAGAATTGTAGGTACSAGCAGCAGTAGTGTCCACTCCAACTAAGTGCTGTATTCTAAGGGAGCAACTTGACCATACAAGGAAGGAAGCTGCAAAAGGAAAGGAAGAATCCCAAGAGTTTGAGAGCACGCAGCAAAGAAGATTTGATGCCAACTAGAAGCAGCGTAGCAGACCATTCTGGATCAAAACAAGAAGCTTGCATTGCAGAATGATGACTTGCAGAAGAAGATGCTATCTGCTGAGAAGATTCATGAGGCAGAGGAGGTTATATACAAACAGAAGGAGCTTACTTGGTAGAAAGAAAGAAGGTCCCTGCTTGAGAGTGAGCTGAAGATGATGCAGCACCTCATGCTGGAGTCCATCCTCCCACTGTTTGTTGATTATGTGAGCAGGAATGCTGCAGGAGTCTATTTGACTGCTGTCTCATTGTTTTGAAGGTATCTTTCTTGTTAATCATTATTAGAACAATCAGTAAAATATTAAAAACAACATACATCATGCAAGCTTAATATAGTAGCAAACAACACCAACACCCTAATCAAGAGGGGAGGGGGAGTGGCAAATGTGATTACAAGTGCAAAGTGAGCTACTCAACAATTATGTGAATAATCAATGAGGCTCCTCAGCGCCTTTACTGTCAGTAATCAAACTTCAACCTCAGTCTCAGTTTGATAAATTTGGTCTCAGCCTTGGTTGAGGTCTCCAGCAAGCTCTTGACCTCAACCTTATCCTCCTCATTGTCATCGTCATCGTCATCGTCATCGTCATCGTCATCGTCATCGTCATCGTCATCGTCATCGTCATCGTCATCGTCATCGTCATCGTCATCGTCATCGTCATTGTCATTGTCATTGTCATCCTCATGCTTATCCTTATCCTTATCCTTATCCTTATCCTTATCCTTACTACTTTCCCCATCCTTATCCTCAGCATCCTCATCCTCATCCTCATCCTCCTCATCTTTGTTTGTATTACTTTGTGTAATCTGGTATGTATTCTACAGAGTAGTATGATACCATATTCCTCTTTCCCTAAGAGATTTACATGTGAGGTCCATGGCCATTGTAAATTAAAATAAAAACAGACAATCTCCAAATTCTTTCTTGTTACGCCCCTCTCATAGCTGAAGGTTATTTTCACACATGTATGTAAATAAACATAGTACTACACATATGAATGACAAATTGCCAAACGTTGCACACGCCAAATTTTAACAGACTCTTTCTTGGTGGGGTCACTTACAAACATACCTCAATGTGAACYCACCAAATGAGGTGTATTGTYCTCTCTGTAGAGACATGTAGAAGAATGTGTACGACCAGTTTGTTGCTGTAGCTGCTACTACRAATCACAAGAGAAAGGGTCCAATAGCTGTCTCAATCTCCAAACTCACAGGCTCAAATAATTTTGAATGTGCATTATCCTTGATCTTTCTCGTTTTCTGGTCAGTGCATCTAGATCTAGTACTCCTTTCAGTGTTTTCATGTGTGCACCATAACCATTCTTCTTACCTCTCTTTTATGCACCAATAAAGTGACTACTAGGTTTTCCCCCTCAGCTCTGCAGCCCTTTATAGCACCATGGACATTGCTGGCTTCTTTTGGACACAATATTTGAGCAGTGAGACTTATTTCTGCCCAACCTTCTTAATGCTGATATGCTTCCCATCACAAGCTTTTGAAGGGATTCCTGGGCCCTGAAGTATTGTTGATGCCTTTCTAAATGATCACACTAATCAATGTTACTAAATTTGTATCAGAGTACTCCTAGGTGAACCACGCCCATTATTTTCGTTTACGAGACAGACATTGTTATTCGACGCTATCAAAAATCCACCACGTGGCTATATTGTAGTTGAGCATTGCACTGGTAGTCTGAACTGTAGTGGTATTTAATGATAGACTTCTCAACCTCTTTTTTGCCGTGGAAACTACTCAATAGCTTCAACAAAACATAAACTAAAAGATATTCATGGCCAAATTGCTTTCAGATCAGGTACTGGTCATTGCAGTATAAAGCGCAAAAATATATGCCGGGCTTGTATCATTACTAATGAAAATATCACCAAGAAATAGTGATCCCGGTCGATTGATTGTTTGACTTGCCAATTTTATTTTTTAATGACACCAACTTCTGCGGCACGCAAGACGCGGCCGTTGAGTGTATATCCTTTTTTCATTACGGTTCCAACTGTTCCCGGTGTGGCGTTTGGGTCGGCGTACTCCATCAGGGCCTGGTGTTTCTCCGCATCGAATTCTTCCCCGGGTTGTTCGCAGAAGGCCTCGACACCGTTCGACTTGAGGGCCTTGATAAGCCCAGATTCCGTCATTTCGATGCCCTCTACAAAGGTCTTGAGCGTCGGATTCTTGGCGACTTCTTCCTCTTCCACGCTCTCGAGGGCTCGGTCCAGGTTGTCRGCGACTTCAAGCATCGATTTTGCAAATGATTTCACGCTGAAGTTCTTGGCCGCTTCGACGTCCCTGCGAGCAATGGATCGAATGTTTTCTTGTTCGGCCAGACTGCGCAGGAGCTGGTTTTTCATTTCGGCGATCTCTTCTTTCAGTTTTTCGATTTCGGATGGACCTTCGGTTTCCTCTTCCGTCGGTGCTTCACCGGCTTCTCCTCCCTCGGTCGCCGGCTCTTYCTCTTTCTTTTCTTCCCCCGCGTCCGGGGACGCCTTGCTGCTGGCATCGCTCAACCAGCGGCGATAGTGGGACTGGGGCGCGGCAATGATCCCCGAGGTATTACATCTATTGGCGCGTTGTCGCGGTTGGGCGAAGAAAGACGTGGTGCTGACCGGCCGGGCTGCGAGGGAATTTCCGACGACGGAGCGGAGGATGGCGTTCTTGTAGGTGCCGTTGGCAAGTCGACGCGACGTAATGGATTTGAGCATGGTTCCTTCGTTTTGTTGTGCTCTGGCGAACCGACTGACAAGGTGTGTAACGCAAAGAGTGGTGACTGGCTTTAGTTTCCCTGATCCTACCAAAAGGAGATGGTACGATTCGTTGTGTATGTAGTGTATGTATTGTATTTGGTTTCTCTTCCGTCCCATCCCGRTCTACCGCACGGTACGTACTTGTACGTATCGACGAAGTTCTGTTCGAGAAAAGCAGACTTTTAGTTCACGTACCGGTACATGCATGTTTGGGTGGCAGCTAGCCRCGAGCCACGAGCCACGAGAAACGAGAAGCAGATCGAAACACGAAGATTGCGTCATCTGTCGCCTCTTCGCCAAGAAATCAATCACGAGTATCGAGTCACACTTTATTRGTTTTGTCGGCAACCAATCACCACCACCTGAAAAATTGGATCCATCACAAAATTCTATTACAGTATTTTTTCGTTCCGCCAAACCGAACTTCCAAAAAACTACGAGCGTGCATGCATGCATCACGAGGCAATCCCAATCAATCATCCACGAAGGCACGCATCSGTCCCACTCCGCARCATAGGTACTCGCATTCGCAGTACAAGACCTCGGCCTCTCTAAAGCGACACGATCGAAATCCAGCTACGGCGATMGAGAAGACGGCTTCGAAAGACAAAAGCGAGCTTAGCAGCAAACAGTTTCAAGATGGACAGCAGAACAGACAATGCCACAGACGCTACGAATACGAAAGAAGAAAAGGCGGCACCGGCGTCGTCGTACTCCGCCGCCAACCCTCCAAGGGGTTTTCAGCCGGGGCCGTTCTCTTTTCACTACCACCTGAACATCGTCATCGACAAACTCGGAGATATGGGGGAGGGAAGGGGACACCTGGCGGACGAGGCCGACCAAGACACGCGACAACCCAAGCTGGAGGGAGCGCACCCACTAGAAATTACAAAGGCGGAAGAAAACGCCGCCTCGGTCTCCCTCGACAAGGTRCCAAAGGGATGGGAATTTCGCGTTCCGCTGGTCATGGTAGGGGAATTGGTTCGGGTGCGGATTTTTAAGAATTTTAAGAGCGAAACGCCCGGAGACGACGCCGGATACAGCGAGGCCGACCTCGTCGAAATCCTCAGGCCCAGCCCGGAAMGGATCCAACCGAGGTGTCCGCTGGCGGGGTCTTGCGGGGGGTGTCAGTTTCAGCACATCCGAATCGAACAGCAACGGGAGTGGAAGACGGAATTTGTTCGAAGGGGTCTGGAGGCCCAGAGCATCAGTGGATACTCGGATGCTGGCAGCACAAAGAGCAACGAAACCAGCGAAAGCAACGACGGCGACAAGGTGAAGTTCACGTCGATCCGGGAGCTGCTGTTTCCAACCGCGGGAACCGACGAGATTTTCGAATACCGCAACAAACTCACCCCCCACTACCAGGCCCCCGTCAAGATGGGCGAGGACGAATACGAACTCAAGGCGATTGGGTTTCAGCAAGTCAGTTGCCGGGACATCATCGACGTGGAGGAATGCCCCATCGCTACGCCGGCCATCAACGCCGTCTACAAGGAAACACGAAAGAGYCTCCACGAGCAAGCCTCAAAGGGCCTCCTCAACAACAAAAAGAGGCGCAAGCGGAACCGGCGGAGCAAGTCCGTCGATCTGGGGGCGACCCTTTTGTTTCGGGAAGCCGATCCCGACCCGGTCACCGGCAAGCCCGTGGTGGTGACGGAATTCAAGGAATACATGACCACCACGGTCAAGGGAATCAAGTTCCGGTACATGGCCGGCAACTTTTTTCAGAACAACAACTACGTGGTGCCGCTCATGGTCGATGCCGTCGTCGACGCCGCCCTCGCTCCCGTGGGCGGACCGGGCGGCAAGGTTCCGTCCTACCTCCTCGATTGCTACTGCGGATCGGGGCTGTTTGCCCTGACCGCCAGCAAAAAATTTAGGCTCTGCGTCGGCATCGAGGTCAACGACAGCGCGATCGAGGAGGCCACCCTCAACGCCGAATCGAACTCCATCACCAACTGCCAGTTCGTAGCTGCCAGCGCCGAGGCCTTGTTCACCAGCCCCCCGGCCCTGACCATAGAGGGGTTCGAGAACCAAAAGATCCAGGATTTCCCCCGGGACGAAACCGTTGTGGTGCTGGACCCGCCCCGAAAGGGGTGTTCGGGAAAGTTTCTGGAACAGCTCTACGACTATAGCCCACAGCGGATCGTGTACATGAGCTGCGGCCCCAGAACGCAGGCGCGAGACGCCAAGGGCATCGTCGAGGTTGGAGGATACGACATTGTTTCGATCCAGCCCTTTGATTTGTTTCCCCAAACCAAGCACGTCGAATGCCTCATGGTCTTTGAAARGAAGAAGCAGTAACAGGGGACTGCCTTGCGATGCGTCCGTTTGCTACGATGCCACTCAAAGAGCGAAACAAATAATGATAGAAACAGCCCAATGGCTGGCCATGATACGAATAAACTAGTACTGGATCAGAAACAAAGGAAAGCCATAGTTTGATACTTTTTTTGAATCCACCACGTATTTTTCGAGGCTCGGCGGCGGTGGGGCAGTACTGTTGTAACCGGATCTCTGCTGGTTCTTGCTGGGTTTGAAGGTCCCGAGCCATGACGCCGGAGCAAAACCCCGTTCCGAAGTCTTATCTTAAGCGAAAGTCTGCGCAAACGGACTACAGTTTTGGCATTGGTCGGACAGCCGCGTTTGCTGCGTCATGGCGGTCTGTATCTGCCGCCACTCGGACCCTGACATCCCCGAAAGAGAGCACACAGATAAATTCGATCCGATCCGATTCTGATACGTTCTGTTCCGAATCGCCCTTCCCGGTTGGTTCCTGTCTACACAAAGTCGTTGCAGTCGGCAAAGTTCAGCGTCACGTTGTGGACCCTCGAGAATTCTTTCAGCCACGGCGACGAGGCCCCGTGCCTCCGGTAGTCGTCAAAGAGCTCGTCGTCGGCGGCAATGTCTACGAGGGCCACGAGGTCGATCCCGCGGTCCGTCGGCTTGTAGACCGTGTTGGGGGTCTCGTTGTGGTTGAGACCGTTTCCCGGCACCCACATCCCAAAGAAGCGCGCGTCCTGATCTCCTTCGTCCCCGGCGGAAGGGTATCCCCGGTCGTCGGCGTCTCTGTGGAATCCCCAGAGATAGTCCTTGACGTACCCGAGTTTTGCCGTGTACGCGGGGGAATCGCTTCCGCCGCTTCCGGCGGCACAAAAGTCCTCGATGTCGGCGATGGAGGCGAATTCCTTGAGATTGACCCCCAGGAACCCCCTCCGCAGAATCGTTCCTTTGGCGATGTCTTCCCTTGCAAAGAGGCTGGCTCCGTACCGAGTGGATCGCCAGTCGACTCGTACCTCCCAGCCCTTTTCCTCGAGGGTGTATCTATCCTGGAGTCCGATTCGATCGTCCCAATCGAGTTCGGCCTCGAGGGTGTTTTCCATGCCCAGCCTCGTTTGCGTGGAAAACGCCGAGCGCCGATCCCAGCCGCGAGGGGAATGCCCCACCGGAGACGGCCGGGCCAGCKGGGGGATTCCGAAGGAACGGAGCGGCCTCCASGACGACGAGGAGACCATTCCCCTGCCGCAAAGGGAGGGCAGCACCGGAAGTTTCATTCTGATCTCGAAATCTGTGGGGCGGGGCCGATAGCGATCGATCCGTGGACGCATCAAGCGGCAGATACCGTCCTCGTTCGAACGACGCCATGGAGCCCGAAATCCATGGATTTGGTTTCTGTTTCCAAAACGTCTCGGAAAATCTTGCACGGGGAGGGGGGTTGGAACGGACCCGCCGGGAAAACCCAACCTCTCCTTCAATTTTTTGTTTMAATCCGATTGGAGACGTTGTCCTAAGAGCTGTACGTACGATACGTACGGTAAGGTAAGGGTACTACGGCGCAAACCGATTTTTTGACTAGTTCGACTCGTGTCTATGTCTATGCCTGGAGCACATTCCTCGGTACAGGCCGGTATGGTACTGTAATACGACATACTGGAACAATTGCCACCGAAAAAAACTATTGGCTCTGCTGTCATTTTCGGTTTGCGCAAACGAGCGATACAAAAAGTACTCGTACGGCAATACGAAAATACGAAGTCGTCGTCGTACAAGTACYTGGTACCTCTGATCAAAATACCGTACCGTACGGTACTTGTACGGTGCATCGTTTTTCGTTTGAATGCGTGTTGCCTGGAATCGTTGACGGGAAACGCGAAACGGGCGGCACACGAAACCCCAATTGCATTCGCTCTTGTCGTGCCTTTCCTATTTTCTTTTGGAGTTTCTGTTCCGGCTCGTCAAATGTGCGGCAATATTTCTAGTGGTTAAGGGAACGAGCATCGACAGACACGCACCAGACAGACAGAGGCATTCCAGAGTTTCTTCGGCCACGGATCCTAAAGCCGAGAGAGGTTGCTTTTGAAAAGACACAGAAGAAAAAAGACCAACCGGCATTGCAACACACACCGCGAAAGGTAGCAAACATCAGCAGCATCACCATCAATATCAATATCAGCAACACCAACAGGCACAAGTCGAACCGCAATGAATGATCCACGCCTGGGAAACAATGGAGGTCGTTCGACGACCGCTCCGGAGTCGCTTTTGTACGGCTCGTCGGGCAGTCAGCAGTGCGTCCCMATCGGCAATCCCTCGGACGCCTACTCCTCCCCGTTCGTGTCGAACTACGACTTTTTGAAAGACGAGGATCCCGATTTCCAATTGATGGACGAGGTTCTCTGGGGACCCGATACGAACACAACCACGGACGAACTCGCCCCAAAACCCAAGCCYGGAAGGCTAGACGACCCCTGTGGATGCAGGAGACCGAAATGGGAAGATCTGCAAACGAAACCAAAGTCCGAACTSATGCAGTGCAGGGACCTCTCGTGCGTCCTCTTCGCTTGTCTCGAGGAGTGCCGGTCGAACTGCGAGGCGGGGGAGTTCTGTGGCAACCGGCGCATACAGCGGAAACAGTGGAAGCAGCTCGAAGTCTTTCAAACGGAGAGAAAGGGGAAGGGGCTCCGGGTTTTGGAGGACGTTAAACAGGGCGAGCTGGTGACGGAATACGTCGGCAAGGCCGTCAACAAACTYTATCTGAACCATCTCTTTCGTCGATACGCCACGGAGCGGAAGCTCTACATCATGGCGATCACAAACGACATCTATCTGGACGCCCGGAAGGTTGGGGGCGTCGCTCGCTACATCAACCACAGCTGCGATCCCAACTGCCAGGTAGAACGGTGGAAGGTCCGCGGGATCATGCGAGCGGCGGTGGTCGCTCGGAAGGACATTCCGGCCGGGACGGAGCTCTCCTTCGATTACCAATGGGAACGGAAACGGGGCCGGGCTCCGACCAAGTGCTACTGCGGTGCAAAAAACTGTCGACAAACCCTGGAGGTCAGCCGCAGCATGGAGGAAGAGGAAATCGAGCGGCGCCTCTCGCAGCACTGGAAAAAGCCCATGATATCGAGGGCCGGAAAAGAAATCGTCAACCGGTGYATAAAGCTCATGTCCAAAGAGGTGCAGGAATACTACCCCGCCGATGTGGTACAGTACGACGAGAACACCGGCAAGCACCTGCTCATGTACCGACACGATCTGGAYGAAGTATGGGAAGATCTGAAAACCGAGGACTGGATGATTCTTGACGAAGAGGCCGAGCAGTTCATCATTCGAAAGAAGAGCACGAACAACCACCCAAGCAGACCCAGCAAAAACAGATCGCTGATTGGAGGCGGGCATGCCACCGCGGGGATGCTGTTGCAGGGCCAGCAGCAACAAGGCACCACCATGAATTTTGTGTACACACCAAGCTATGTWAAATCAGCACTCTTCGACCGTCACTTGATCGAGCGGTGCCAGCGGTCTTGCCGGGTCACGATTACACCGCAGCAATTATCGCGAGACGAAATCCAGAGCAACAAGGATCATCCCGAATACAACCAGCGCATGAAAGCGTTGAAGGACAGCCCGGACGGTGTCGTATGGAAAATGACGCTGGCGGGTTCGGATGTTCCCAAGGCGCGACAGATCCTGGACAAGAATGTTGCGTACATCGTCAGCAAGGCTGCAGAGGGCAACGGTGCAAACGGGAAGACCCCGACGAAGGCCAATGGAAGTTTAGCGACAGCGGCGGCTACCCCGGCCAAGACAGCGGCGGCAGCTATGAATTCCAACGAGTTTGTCTTCCCACGGGCAATCGTTGATTCGATAAAACGGCGGCTGCCCACCCTGCGGGAACGCTGTCGAAGCGTCAACATTGCATTCGCTCCGTCGGACTCGAAATCAAAACAARTTGCGAAACTGATTGTGGAAGGTTCGCTCGTATCGGATGTCGAGTCGGCAACGGAGTTCCTATGGAAGCAACTCAGCACGGCGTGCGAAGAGCACAATACACCGAAGACGGTGTCGGGGATCTTCGAGGATCTTGGTCTGTTGGGGGGACAAATGAGCAACTCGGACTTCAACAAGCTACTGGATTTTGATAGCGCTGGTTTAGAATCGMTGTCGTCTCCTTCCATGGCGGGAGGAGCCGGCTCGGCATCTTCGCTGAAACACGACGCGAAAAAAGATCTCTCACGGTGTTCGCCGTTCTTTCCTTCGTTTGAGGCAGCACAAAGGTGCACGATATGGGTTCAGGCCGAGTCCGATATGGGCCGCATCAGCAGAGACAACCGAATAGTCAACGTTGCAACCCCAAACACTCCTCGAAAGCTTTACTTTGGATGCGACCCCAAGTCCGTTTCGAGACTATGGAAATTGATCATGGCGCGAGCGATGGAAGTGAGTAGGGGAGTCAAGTATTTGTTTTTGGGRCCCGATAGAATCTACCTGCCGCAGATGATGCAAAACAGCGGYCAGTTCTTTGACTTTGTTCAGAAGGCATCTTCTGCCTCTGTTACCATAGACACCATGACCGGAAATCACCTTAGGATAGACGGGGAAGACAAAAAACTTTATTAYCACCAAGTTATCAATCAATCCAGCGATATCCCCGTCGGCCAACGGGTTACCCTGGCGGAAGAACTCATCCGGCTCCAAATCGAATTGTACCGAGACCACTGTATCCGGCAAGATAATTGGATCTTTGGAAGAGATTGGAGCTTTGCAAGGAAATCTGCTAAATCGAGCAACGAATCGCCTAACAATACTAGTGGAGGAGTCGCAGGCAGAAATGTACTCAATAATAATGGTGTAAATTTCGACAACAAGTCGTTGACAAATGCATGTTTCGAAATTGGTGACATAGTCGCTTCATTGAAGCTCGATGGTGACGTCGCCGCACATGCGTCAGTTATTATCTATCGATTCCTAACTGTACAATCGCAACAAGGGTCTTTGGAAACGCAAGTGAAAATCAGAGAACTGCTACTTGCCTGCGTTTTCATCGCGAACAAGGCGCAAAAGGCATGCAGGTGGAAAAAACTCGACACCATCCTCGCGGCTGCTTACGAAAGTTTCTATCCGGGTGTTAGATTTGATTCCTCGAAAGAAGAATCGCTTGTCTGGGAAGAAAAAGTCATCGCGGCAGAGTCTGAAATTTTAGTTCGTCTCAATCATGACGTGTTCTCCGAGGGATTTGGCTCGATTGCTGCTACAGCTGTTGAGTCTGGAGCAATGGACCAGCGGCTGGCAAAATATACTCTTGCTTTTGCCGTCAGTGGCCCGATTCTAGCGGGCGGGGCAGATCTTTGGCTCAATTATGGAGAGGAATACATTTTTACGGCATGTGCAGCCTTTTTGGATGCGAAGTTTGAAAATTTGTTCACGGCCCTTTCGCTAATCCCGATTAAAGTCTTGCAAACTGCTGAAATAATCGCTGCATCAGTGGAAAGAACTGGTTTTGGGAAGAAAAATTTGAATAATCACCCTATCATGAAGGAGGGCAAAAAGGGTCTCAATGATCGATTGGCTGGAATCAAAACTCTTTGTGTATTTTTGATGAGTAACAAACAAGGAGGGAATGGACAAGTATCAATAATGCACTCTGAGACGGAGCTGCGGTACAAGATCATTCGAGATCGTAACAAGCAACGTCGCATCTATCCAAACGTTTCAATGTCTGTGATTGAAAACTTGATTATTCCCTCTATAGACGGAATCAGCGCAGAAAGCAAATGCAATATCTTTATCAATAAGAATCGATCGATCACATCATATGATTTAATCTTAGAAGGCTCCTGGAGAGCGATTGCAATTGCATCATATTTGTTAAAGGAGGCCACGAACGACGAAGCGGAAGGAAAAGATAATTTGRGGGAGCCCGATGACTCTGGGACAGGTGCGATTCACGAGCAAAACAGCATTCAAGCGAAGGGAGAGCCGGGCTTATTACAAATGAATATGATAGAGGATGGTTGGTCGGGAACAATCCAATCTGAAGTTTCGAACCAAGCTGTATGGGGCCGAAAGACTGGTGGCAAATGCTGTGTTCCAGGGAAAATCAAGGCTGCGGACTTAAGGAAAGGAGGCCTTCGGTGGTGGATCCCTCCAAGATATGGCCCAAGTACAACTGGTTCTATATGCGACATGTTTTTGAACAGTGCAGATGATAAATTGGTCGATGCATTGAAAAATTTGTGTGACGGAAGTCAAGGGGAGTCGCCATCTTTTTCTATTCTTTCGAGATCTTCTACCGAGAAGTCGTCTGTTAATGGATCTAGTGATAGATTCTCAGCGTTATCTTTGCACCGATGGCCTTCGGAAAAAGTAGCTGCGAGGGAGCAATTGAGGGCCAAAAAAGATGCAAAGAAAGGAAAGAAGTCGAAAAAAGCTGTGATGCAAGTTGGTTTTTCGCCCGCAGCTCTTCAAGAAATGCAAACACTGAGACAACTTCACGGGCTCATYAAATCACCAAGAGGCCATCCAAATTTGTATCTKCCCATTGGTGTGGTGTTACCGTCAGAGCAACAAAACAAAGAGAGTGACCTCGCATCCAATGGTATCAAAAGTGGCTTTGACCTGAAACGAATTGATGAAGATATTTTTTCTTTGACCCGTTCAAGTCTTGAAAATGAAGCAGCAGCCCAAAAAGAGAAAGAACGAAAGGAGATGGTGAATGACCGACATCTCGTCATTGAACCGACACCTTTCATACTTCAGCGATTCGTACAGAAGAAACGAAGAGACTGCAAGGAAGAGGATCAGAAGATTTTGAGCCCAGTAATATTTGCAACTTGGTGTTTTGATCTCCTGTCCGCCGTTTTGCACTGCCACGGAAATGGTATCATTCTTAGAGGAACCTTGAATCTGGATTTGATTMTTTTAGATCATAGTGGCGTTGCAAAGGTCGGTAGCCTTTACAAATCAAGTGCATTCAACAAGGATGATACGAAACTCAACATGAATGTCGGCCTTCTCAAACAAGCACGGGAAAAGAAAAAGGATCTTGATCGGCGAAAAAAAGAAAACYCGAAGTTCGTTTCTGATGAACAAGACGATGTATTGAAAGATCCATATGTACCGCCTGAAATGCTTTTGGGATCACCCAGATACACGAAGGAAACTGATATGTGGGCGCTTGGTTGCTTGCTGTCGCACCTTCTTCTGAACAAACCAATTTATTCTGGCAAAGATAAAYCMAACAGACAAGCACTTTTATCAGCAATTTACAAATTGGTCGGTATACCTGCCGTAAATAACTTCGAGCTGGGAGCAAAATTTCCGTATTACAAAAAGCCAGAAAAGAAGTATCGACCCGGTGTTGAAAAGGCAATTCCAAAGTTAATGAAAGGTGGCGACGACGCAGCATACGCCAGCGCGATTGATCTAATACGGCAAATGTTGCACCTCGATCCGGAAAAGCGCATCACCGCTAAAGAGGCCCTACAGCATGAATACATGGCAAAGTATATCGAACAATCCAACACTCAAGTTTTTCAAGAGACTTTTGTCCGAGATTGGATCAATCTGAAGATGCGATTATCGAAATCGAGCSAAGACGAAAGCAAGGAGAGGGAACGGGGCATAAAGCGCAAGGCCATGCTAATGGCAGCATCAAGATCGGCTACAAGCACGATGGAGGAGGATGACTTGTATGATATGGGAGATATTTTAGGGGTCGGGGGAGAAACCAAGAAACCAAAAACGACGTGACAACGGCGAAATCTAGCTATACTACAGCCGTATATAATCTAGCAAAACATATTTTTGAAAGGTTATCAATGAAAAGAACTCGTAAAATATTGTTGATAGATCCCTGTTTCTACAAGGAAGTAGAAAGGCCTATGAAGATAGTGCTAAAGTGTAATAAAATCTTATGCAATCAATTATCTTGCCACGTGAGCGATGGCTTAGGTTCCAAAACTCCTGCTCATTATCATGTGATCGATCTCTTAACGGTTCTCTTGGTACATGAGAAAKGATTATACTCCAAATTTCTTGCCAAATGGATAGCAAAGGCAGATGACAAACACTACATACTGATCCCCATGATTTAAATTATCTATAGTTGGATCAATGCCTACTGTTCTATTTATACTTGATAGTATCAGCAAGAAGTGCTTGATTGTACTCAATATGAGCTTTTGATAGCAAAGACAGATGGAGAATACAACATACTGATCCCCATGATTCAAATTATCCACAGCTGGGTCAATGCCTACTATTCTATCTACACTTGACAGCATCAGCAAGAAGTGTTTGATTGCGCTCAATATGAG